TTTATCCGCCTTATTAAAATCCTCCAATAATTCATGCCTCAAACCTTTTGTAAAACCTTTAATTCGCATTTTTAACAAAAACTTTCTGTTATAATTTTTTGAATGGTTGATATTTTTGAAACTATATCCCAATAAATCAATTAAAGATTAAGATATTAGTACATTAATGTATGCGATATTATTTCTTTGCAAAAGACGACATTTACAAAATTTATTTACCGTTTATACTATTGCAAATATCTGATCTCATCACTTCATAACCGCCTAAAATCCCAAATTCCATAATACCTCAAAAAATATATGACGATGTCTGAAAATTTTCACTAACAATCATGGGCTATATTTTTTATAAAAGAGATGCGTAACTACAGGGTGTCCCAAAAAACATGGGAATTCATGTGACTAATTCGATATCGTCTTTGTTATGAATTAGCATGGTAATACCTAATTTCAAAAGCCATAATATTATTATGTCTGATAGAGTTTATTTTATGAAAAGGGTAAAAGACTGTAATGGTGTGTCTATAATGTCTCCAACAACATACAACATAAACAAACTAAATGTGAGCATAGCCGACGAAACTCTTACAGATTACTGCTTTCTCGGTAGGTATGACTATACTAAATCAAGGAATTATTTAAAAAGACGATATCAGATTCGTCACTGAATTCCCATGTTTGTTGGGACACCCTATATAAGCAAATTCAGCTTTATTTCACCAGACGTTACTCATATCCAACAAATGATTAAATACATTTTAGAATAATAATTAATATCATTAACTTTAAGTACAAAACATTCACAATTGTGTTAAATAACTAAGGTTTTAATGTCGATCGTAAGAGTCTCAAGCAACCAAAATAACCACTGACGTCAAAATACAATTGTACAGAGGCGTACACAATAGTCAGATAAATTTCGAATGCATCGTCTTTATTATTAGCAAAGTCTTTGGATGAATGTAAAGAAAGGATTTGAATTTAAAGAATGAATTAACAGAATAATTTGTAAATTAGAGGAACGCTGCCAGCACAGAGAACACTAACATTTACATTTCTAATGATAATTTGAAATTATATCCGAGTATTTGGTGTAAAACATAAAACATAAAACATAAAACATAAAACATAAAACATAAAAATAAAACATAAAACATAAAACATAAAACACAAAACATGAAACATAAAACATAAAACATAAGCATAAAACATAAAACATAAAACATAAAACATAAAACATAAAACATAAAACATAAAACATAAAACATAAAACATAAAAATAAAACATAAAACACAAAAAATAGAACAATGTATCCTCTCTTACAGAATGATATATAAGCTAAAATAAATTCTTTCTTTGAATTATATTTGTGAAATAAACCTGTGCATTATATAGAATGTAAAGCAGAAGATTGATGAAGAGCTGAGAGCCTATGTAAAGGAAAACTGAAGATAAAACTATAATTAATTAAACCATTTTCTACTAATTTTCTCTTCTTAAGAAAATAACAGAAACTAACCGGTATTCCAATGAAACACAATTTTCGAAATTTTTGCGCAATAATTTTAAATCTAAGTATATAGGAACAGGACAACGCATTTATCAAAATATAAAATTAACAATTTTACACATTTGTATATTTCAAGGAGCAAACGGGTACTATTTCACTGACCGTGTATTTACATTCTCAAAAATATTCAACTATTAATTTTATTAAGGAGATAACTACGCTACATCGACATCTCTAATTCGTAGCACAATATAAACGTGCACCATACCTTGCTACACTAGACACTAGACACTAGACACTAGACACCAGACACTAGACACATAAAGGACGTATGTTCTTTATGAACCCCCCCCCCTCTCGATTATTCAGGGGTTCGTTCTCCTAAGATAAAAGACATTAAAAAGATAATCAATTTTTTAACTAGAACTATCTTAAAAATCTTGTCACTAATATTCTCACTCACTTTCTGTCATGATAACTGCATTAGTTACTATGACTTGTAGTAGTATTGTTTTTATAGCTCGTATATTGTGTTTTTTACCTCTCATTGTTCGTGCTTTATCTCTAAATTTTGATTTTCTGGACTTTTAAAAAACTTAATAGATTATTAGGCTTTATAAAAATTTGGCTGTTGAAACCAAAGCATTCTTTAGAGAAAATTAAAGCTGGGAGAAAATTCAGTATTATTAGTATAACATATAAATATTTTGATTAAATATTCTAATAATATAAATGACATGGTAGGGTAAAATCTTTACAGTTTGATTTAATCCTTAATATAGAATAAACGGTATTTTAGCATGATTAAATATATTTTTAATTGAACCTGCTTGTAAAATATAGAGCTCGAAGAAGAGTAGTGTATACGTATATCATGGTTGTGCAGGATAGAAAACATTTCTAGAGAATAAATTTATCATTGTAAACGGAATCGGTCATTTCTACACTTTTTAGGTAAAAATCAATTTATGTGTTTTTTAATGATATTTTATAAATTATGAATGACATATATTGAAAATAAAAATTTTAAAATATAGAGAATATAGCGGGGCCTAAATATTGTAATATTCAGACTAGTGGCTACAGGAAGGATAAATATATGAAGATTTAAGGATTTATTTTGGGATACAACTTTGACAGTTTTTCTGGCGTGAGTGCAGAATTCAAAATCGTCTTTTATTTTTGCGGAACTTTCTTTTAGATTGACAATAAACGCAGAACAGTTTACTAATAAATATGGATTACAATTCTGCGATTTTCTCATTTTCATACTCTTTATTCTTGATTCCTTATACGATTGATTCTTGCTTCTTTTTGAACAGTTTGTCGTTTAAAGACTACATTAAAGGGACATTCTTATATATATGTTGCGTATAGCCGGCCAAACGGCTGGACCGATTGGGCTGAATTTTATAGGTTAAACAAAATTCAAAGATTTTTTTTCAACATTTTTTTTCAAACAGTTTTTTCCCACGGGCAACACCGGGCCCTTCAGCTAGTATTTTATATATCGATTAAATTTTTTTTTTAGAAATCTATCAATGTTTACAGAAAAATCTGCAAAATTTTGAGTTTTTCATTTACGAAGAAATGTGTTCGCTTGAAAAGCAACATTTAAACACTTAAATAGAATCTAGAAGAATCTCAATTTCATATTAAAAAAGTTTTTACAGTGATAATGAAATTAATTTATTAGCTTACACCAAAATGATTTTATGACAGTTTGATGGCTGGGGGGATTTATAAAACAATTAATTTAGATATTTGATGGTTTTATAATTTAATACTAAATACCATTAACTTTATTTAAAAATACTTTTTGATAAAAAATGTGTTATAACTATCAAATCTTACGTTAATTAATATCCATTATACTTTTAAATACAAAACTATCTATTTAACCCCTCCCCCTGCACTCCGGTTAAACTCCCCCCCTCCCTCCTATTCAGAAAATAATCAGTATTAGATCTGTTTCCAATATTGTACCAAGTAAATAGTACACTAGACACTAGACACAAGATACCTGACACTAGACACTAGACACTAGACACTAGGCACTGGACACTAGACACTAGACACCAGACACTAGACACTAGATCATAAAACATAAAACATAAAACATAAAACATAAAACATAAAACATAAAACATAAAACATAAAAATAAAACATAAAACACAAAAAATAGAACAATGTATCCTCTCTTACAGAATGATATATAAGCTAAAATAAATTCTTTCTTTGAATTATATTTGTGAAATAAACCTGTGCATTATATAGAATGTAAAGCAGAAGATTGATGAAGAGCTGAGAGCCTATGTAAAGGAAAACTGAAGATAAAACTATAATTAATTAAACCATTTTCTACTAATTTTCTCTTCTTAAGAAAATAACAGAAACTAACCGGTATTCCAATGAAACACAATTTTCGAAATTTTTGCGCAATAATTTTAAATCTAAGTATATAGGAACAGGACAACGCATTTATCAAAATATAAAATTAACAATTTTACACATTTGTATATTTCAAGGAGCAAACGGGTACTATTTCACTGACCGTGTATTTACATTCTCAAAAATATTCAACTATTAATTTTATTAAGGAGATAACTACGCTACATCGACATCTCTAATTCGTAGCACAATATAAACGTGCACCATACCTTGCTATACCTTGATGATTTGAGAAAAATGAAGAGATTAAGCACTAATCTCTTTTCAATGCCCTAGACAGTAGCGCAGAACCAATGTTCTACGTGAGTCTAGTTCTTAAGCATAATGTGTTTTCTTCCAATTGAAACTAAATGTTTCTCCAATAAGCTTTTTCACATTTAACACTTCTTAATTTTGATGCCTGCTATCTTCACGTCGGCCGTGTAGATTCTTAACCACAGAGAGAAGGGAATATGCAGGAAGGAAACATCAATGTTCCTTGCCAGTATGTTTCCTAAATATATCGTTTTCTATATTTACGTTGGCTAATTAGCATCAAGACGACATAGTTTAACTAATGTAATGCCATACCAACGTTGAACTTTCAATGTTCTTCGTTAGTACAATCGTAGTTTTTTCCATATAGCGTACATTGACTTTATACCATTGTTACATAAAAACTGTATAACGCTTGCTCAAATTGATTTTCTTCATAAAATGCCCAAATTATATGCAGACGATTCTTAAAAAATCTTCGTCACCGACTAATTATATGCATTTAATTCTCTACGACTTCATTGTTGCACTCTTCATTTTGTATGTCTTGCAGGATCCATGTATCCTTAAATCCAAATTTCTAATTTAAGAAATGTACGTATTTGGCCCTTATACAAATCTCTCATAAAAAAATGTAAACACATGTAAGCAATTTTGTATTTATTTCACAAATCTAAAATAATGTAAACGAATTTGTCGACTACATGTTAACTTCTTTGTACAATTAAAAAAGACAATAAATATTTAGATTTCAAAAAAAATTTTATTAACAGACAACCTGTCGTTCAGTGAAGTCGGGGCCGGTTTTATATACGTCAAAATGGAGAAAATTATATTTAAATACTTTTACTGAATACAGAGAATAAAAAAGAAGGAACAATATTTTGGAAAAAGTGCCTGGGAAGGAAAATAAGTTTCTTGAAGAAGAGGAGTGCCTGAAAAGAATGAGGAGTGTTTGAATGAGTCTCCAGAACGGAGAGAAGTGCTTTTTTAGGAAAAGAGCTCCTAGAAAGGATAAGGATTGCCTGGAAAGGATATGGAGTGCCTAGAAAGAATAAGAAGTGCCTAGAAAGGATAAAAAGTGACTTGAATTGATAGGAAGTGCCTAAAAAGGATCAGGAGTTCCTTAAAAAAGGATAAGGAATGCCTGTAAAGGATAGAGAGTGCCTGGAAAGGATAAAGAGTGCCTGTAAAGAATAAAGAGTGCCTGGAAAGGATAAAGAGTGCCTGGAAAGGAGTGCCTAATGAGGAAGTGCCCGAAGAATATGTGCGGAGAGAGGTTAAAGATTGAAGAGAAGGGTGGAGTCAGGATGAATTATAAGAAGGGTAGAGGAGGGAGGAGGGAGGAGGGGGGAGGAGAGAGATTGAGGCTAACAGTGCCTAGAGAAGCAAGAAACCCCAGGATTTACCGGAGAATAAGAGCGGTGGAGTAGGTGGGTGTGGCGGACACAAGGAGTTATTTCTTCCCAACCTTCGGAGAACCCAGATCCGGAGCTAATCTGTTCCAAACCTTGAAAGGAGCAGGAGGTCCAACTCCGGAGATAACTGTTGCTAAACCTTTTCCGGGTAGAACTAATACACAGATAAACCCTGGATATGAAACTAGTATCTGCTCCAAGTTTGGTTAGATCTATTCTCTAGTATGGAGTAAATACTAGAGATTACTCCGGGTCCCTGGTTACAGGTAAATACAAAGGAATATATATAGAGCATTGAGCAATATACAGGGGTAGGCGATTATCGCTATACAAGAAAGACGACTTTCGATTTCAATTCTGATTTACATCAAGCTGTTAAACAGCATGAATACACATAAACTATTAAAAAAGCTTCTCTTTGATTACTAGTAAACTTTTATTTCAAAAGAATCTTGTTCATATGCAAAACTTTAATAAAAAAGTTGTCTTAATTGTATTGATATAATCGCCTACCTCTTTATCTTCTCATCTTTCCCCCAGTCTCAAACCAACTCTTCCCGTTGAACAACAGGTTACCAATATATCTCAAACAATTCTTTACATCGATGTGCATTCCATTCTATTCTATTATTTTCTAATTTCATTCTATTTATCTCTTGATATCTAATATGAATTGTTTTTATTCTGTTCCATTTATTCCATTCTATTATTCTTTCAATCAATTCTTCTAAATTTTTTATCCTTTCTGTTTTATTGTTTATTATTCAATTTTCTATTTCTTAAAGGTATTCTTTTCTCTTTTATTCGTATCTAAACTCTACTCTTTTCTTTTTATTCGTATTTAAACTCTACTATTTTTCTTTTTATTCGTATCTAAACTCTACTCTTTTACTTTTTTCGTATCTAAACTCTACTATTTTTCTTTTTATTCACATCTAAATTCTACTTTTTTATTTTTATTCGTATCTAAACTCTACTATTTTCTTTTTATTCGTATCTAAACTCAATTTTTTTCTTTTCATTTAATTTTTTTATCATTTTTATTTCTTCAAGGTATTCTTTACTTTTTTCTTTTCATTTCAATTTTTCTAGTTTTTATTTCTCTCAACCTTTTCTATTCTTTTCCAATCTATTAAATCAATTTTTTTAAATTCTTATTTATTATGTCTCTCTCTTCTAATCCCAATCTTCTATTCTTTATTTTATACTTATCTATTCTATGTTAAACTTCTATTCTATTCTTATCTTTTTTCTTATATTTTTATCTTATATTCTTATATATTCTATTCCTAACTCTTCTATTCTTATTTATTCTATTCTCATCTTCTATTCTTATCTTCTATTCTTATTTATTCAATTTTTATATTATATTCTTATCTATTCTATTCTTATCTATTCTATTCTATTCTTATCTATTCTATACTTATCTATTCTATTCTTATCTATTCTATTAAGCTGAGAAAACTTCTCTTCGTACATTTTTCTCTGTCATCCATTTGTATTCAAATTGAACTGTCAAATAAATTGTTAAACTTTTTACAAGAAATCTACTTTTCACCACATTTTTTTTGTCATTGATTTTGAATTAGGGAAACATTTCTAGACATTGAGGTTTTTCTGTAAATCTGGGGTCATTTCCACCAACTATATTTAATGGAATTTCATATGACTTCAATTTATAACTTTTCAACCTTTAAACGGCTGGTCGGTGGGAAAAAGAACCTAAAATAGTTATAACTTTTGTTTTGAGCTACTTTTAACTTATTTCAAAACCCTTGAAAAATATATGTAGGAACATTTGTCATATTTCAATATTTGTCAATAATAAACATTTATATTTTTCAACATTTTTGAACTATTTTAAAACCCTTACATTTAAGTTAGATTAGAAGTCTACCTCAATTCACTCAATAAACGGTATTTAAAGCGAGATTATTAAAACAAAATATTATTTAAGTGGAAAATTAAAAGTTGTTTATTTTAAGTCGGGACTGATGTGCTAAAAAAAGTCCCCAATATAAATCTGGTGCCTGATTTATTATGAAAAAGGTTTGACTTCCTTTTTTGTTTTGTTTCATTTAAAAAATTATATTGTTCAAAGAAAAATGCATTTTATATCTTTAAAAAACATCTAACATTAACAAATTTTCTGTGTATTTATTTCTTTTGAGATAATTTTTTGAAAAAATGCCTAAAACAAAAACAAAAATGGCGGTACAAAGGTTAGCGCGATGAAAGAGCGCTATGCCCCGCTCACAGATGAAGAAATGGAAGCAGTTACAGTCGTCTTCCATCAATATGAAACCGGGCTAAGAGAAGGAACAATATATACCAAGGTAAGGACTTTATTTGATTTATTAAATTTTGCCGGAGACTTTTTTGATCTTAAAGATACTACAAACTATAATTAAGTACCCCGACCCCCATTAAAGATTCACAACGGTATATACAGTACACTTAATATCTTTATCTGAGTAACATTGAGGAAGAAATCGTCCTTTTTATTTGTAACTAGTGTTGAAATCCGTTGATTTTCTTCTTTGATTACCAAATAAAAAAATTAAGATAGGAATTATTTTGTTTTAAAAAAATGGGAATTGAGCATTCACTTTTAAATGGAGAGTTACTTGTATTAAAAGTTCATACTTAAAACTTTCACAAACTTAGGTCGTAATTACAGAAAAATTTTACTTTTCTAATACGGCAAAACAAAAGCAAAAAACTTTGCGACGTGAATTTGTAGAAATTTCGATAATAACGAGTATATTTGATAGCAAAATTTTGCAAAATCATTTGTAGAAATTACGCAAAATTGAAGTTTGGCTAAATAGGCGTAATTATTGCAAAATTTCGCGAAACTACTTTGTATAAATTAAGAAAAATTACGGCGAAGTTCCGCGAAATAGAAGTTTTTCTGATTCCACATAAAATTTACACAAAATTACGCCGTAATCTCGAAAAATTGAAGTTTCGCTAATTAGGCGTCATTATTACAAAATTTCGTGAAACTATTATGTTGAAATTACACAAAATTATGCATGAATTTCGCGAAATTGAAGTTGCGCCAATTACGCGTAAGATCCTGCGAAATTACACGAAATGAAAATTATTTAGCGTTACTGCACGTAATTTTGCGTAAGTAAATAATCTGTTACGTTGGAAACCCTACGTTATTGAGTAACTTACTTAATTACGTCGACAATTCCTTTAAAATACTAAAACGTTGTTCATATTTACACGTTTTGTAATTATAAAAACAGTTTGTTATCCAAATTCGTTTCAGGGTAGTAAAAACCCCTCCGTGCACAATTTATTTTTATGTAGCAGGATGAAAAGGATTTTATTTTTAAGTCTTTAAAAACTTTAACATCGTATGAGGCAAATAGGATAATAGTTAGAGCTTAGGATAATCAAACTTTTAGATATTTACATTTTCAAAGTTGTGTTAGGCTTTATTTTAAATTTATCTTGTTGGCCTACTGTAGATTACATAATCTTTTGCATAGTACATATATGGTCTACTGTAGATTATATAATCTTATGCAGAGTATAGGGTCTACTGTAGATTATATAATCTTCTGCAGAGTATATGGTCTACTGTAGAGTATAGGGTCTACTGTAGAGTATATGGTCTACTGTAGAGTATAGGGTCTACTGTAGAGTATATGGTCTACTGTAGAGTATATGGTCTACTGTAGAGTCTAGGGTATACTGTAGAGTATACGGTCTACTGTAGAGTATAGAGTCTACTGTAGAGTATAGGGTCTACTGTAGAGTATATGGTCTACTGTAGAGTATGGTTTGTCTACTGTAGAGTATAGGGTCTACTGTAGAGTATATGGTCTACTGTAGAGTATAGGGTCTACTGTAGAGTATATGGTCTACTGTAGAGTATAGGGTCTACTGTAGAGTATATGGTCTACTGTAGAGTATGGTTAGTCTACTGTAGAGTATAGGGTCTACTGTAGAGTATATGGTCTACTGTAGAGTGTATGGTCTACTGTAGAGTATATGGTCTACTGTAGAGTATATGGTCTACTGTTGAGTATATGGTCTACTGTAGAGTATAGGGTCTACTGTAGAGTATATGGTCTACTGTAGGGTATGGTCTGTCTACTGTAGAGTATGGTCTGTCTACTGTAGAGTATGGTAGTGTTTGCTTTATAGTGCTTCTGTGTCACATAAAATAGATAAGGGGGAACTTTCCTTGAATAGAAAACTGGAAAACTGAATTATTAAATATTCAAGTATGTGAGAAATATAAAACACCTGTTTTTTACAATCCATAATATTAAAAAAAGTTTTTATGGCTTTTTAGATAATTTGATATTTGTAGATCATGTTACGTAAGGTTACAATTTGGAGATTAGTCAGATAAAAAAAGAAACAGAAGTATGCTTTTATAAAACAAAATAAGAAATGAAGACCAAATTTGTGACCCATTTTCAAGTTTTATATTTTCCATTTTATAGGTTTTAAAGAAACTGTCAACAAAAATTTAAGTGACCTTCCAGTGATATATAGTTTAGAAAAGCAAGGATATTTCCATCATTTGTGAAAAGAAAAAAAGCGCCGTGGATAGTTTGACATGTAACTCTTTAAATTAGTCGACCTTCCCTTTAATATTTGAAGAAGAACTGAAGTGTACAGTCCCTTTAATACTTGAAGAAGAACTGAAGTGTACAGTCCCTTTAATACTTGAAGAAGAACTGAAGTTTACAGTCCCTTTAATACTTGAAGAAGAACTGAAATGTACAGTCCCATTAATACTTGAAGAAGAACTGAAGTGTACAGTCCCTTTAATTCTTGAAGAAGAACTGAAGTGCATAGTCCCTTTAATATTTGAAGAAGAGCTGAAGTGTACAGTCCCTTTAATACTTGAAGAAGAACTGAAGTGTACAGTCCCTTTAATACTTGAAGAAGAACTGAAGTGTAAAGTCCCACTAATACTTGAAGAAGAACTGAAGTGTACAGTCCCTTTAATACTTGAAGAAGAACTGAAGTGTACTGTCCCTTTAATACTTGAAGAAGAACTGAAGTGTACTGTCCCTTTAATACTTGAAGAATCAAGGATACAATAGATGTCCATCCCTAGCGCAAGGATACAAAAGATGTCCATCCCTAGGCGCAAGGATACAATAGATGTCCATCCCTAGGCGCAAAAATACAATAGATGTCCATCCCTAGGCGCAAGGATACAAAAGATGTCCATCCCTGGCGCAAGGATACAATAGATGTCCATCCCTAGGCGCAAGGATACAATAGATGTCCATCCCTAGACGCAAGGATACAATAGATCTCCATCCCTAGGCGCAAGGATGATACAAAAGATGTACATCCCTAGGCGCAAGGATACAATAGATGTACATCCCTAGGCGCAAGTATACAATAGATGTCCATACCTAGGCACAAGGATGATACCATAGATGTACATCCCTAGGCGCAAGGATACAATAGATGTACATCCCTAGGGCAAGTATACAATAGATGTACATCCCTAGGCGCAAGGATAAAATAAAAGTTGTCTAGTTTTACTTTGTTTTGATATTCTGGGTTAGTTTAATAATTAATGATTAAAATCAACTTTGCCTGAAAACGTAAGTTAAGAAAATGTATCCATAGATAAAAATAGATTGTGCATATGTCGACATTTAACACTAAAAAATAAATATTATTGAAGTAAATTTGACCTTTAGAAGAATGGATGACAGAATGTTTTTGCCTATAAACCAAGTTTTCATAATAAAAGTTCAATTCACGCAAATTAATATATTCAAACCAAACTGCGGTTCTGCCGAGTTATCAAAATCAAAATTTAAGGAAAATCGGTGAAGGGAATAATACGTTATGATCGAACTAACAGAGATTACTACTTTATAGTTTACCAGTTAAAAGGATAACACCATTTTGAACATAACATAAATTTTAAAGAATATTGAATTTAATTCATATGATTATAAGTTTCATGTTCTCTTATTATTTTCTTTATATTTGTCTCAGATTTATTAAAATAAAAGACACCAAATAAAAAAATACCTCAAAATGATTGTCACGTCAAAATAAAGTAAGTTGCACGTTACATTGAAATATTTAATGTTTTCAATCAGAAAAACTCTCATTAAAGAACTATGAAGAAGAACAAACATGTTTTGAATTTCTGATATGTAACCACTGGCCGAATTTAAAGAATTTGAGCGGCGGTTTAAATTTAAGCCGCGGTTTAAATATGGTTGGTAACACTTAAAATTGTATCAAATGTTTCAAGATTTAAGCTGGCGCTTAATTTAAACCGGGTTTTGGCGGATTTAAACCTCGGCTCAAATTCTTTAAATTCCATCTCAGATGATTTGCTTTTTTGTTACAATTGAGCATAGAATTAAAACTTGAAAATCTTTATTTGAGGTCACAAAGTCGTACTAGTAATACCGAATAAATTATACCTTCTCCGTCTGTCTAGTACAGTGTGTCGTATTTTTCCTTTTCCAAAAACTCGTAACCCCATCCCGATCATGTTGAATTGAAACATGAAATATCTGAGGCAAAAAATAAATGTTTTTAATTTAGCTAAAAACCGATTTGACAAGAAGGTAAACAAACACTGCATGGCGGAGAAAACATTACAGGGTGCCCCCCCCCTTTATGGCTTTTTAGATAATTTGATATTTGTAGATCATGTNTTATTTTTTCCTTTCTTTCTGGTTTTTGTAGGTTTTGGTGCTCGGACTTTATCAATTCTAAACATTTTTAAAGATGGTTTATATAAATTTGAATTCAGCATAATATTTTCAAGAAAATTAGTCTAACATGAAATTTTCAACAACAACAAAAATTGGTCAATGTATTCATTTTTTATATAGTTTTTTGGCCTATTGGAAAAAGTTTTTCAACTTAGAAGGCCTAATCGATCAGCTCTACACTATACAGTGTACACTGAAAAGTCCCAATACTGTTTTCAATCACTATGCTGACAGAAATGTAAAAATAAGAAGAAAAGGTTTTTAATTAAAAAAAATAGAAACAAAACATTTTCCCAGAATAGAAAATAGTTTCCCGTTTAAGATGAGAATAGATTTAAAGAGATTTAGATAGTATTAGCATATTTTATGAGGAGGAGGAGAACTTTTGTGTTTATAATTTTATTAAAAAAATGTCGTTGGAGACCCATTCTCTTCATTGGAGACAAAAAACATTTTTTTTCAATTTTTCCGGAGGCTACTTCAAAACTTTTAAACTTGGACTTTCGTGGCCTCAGAGTCAAAAAACTTCTTTCCCTAGGAATCTATTTTCTCCCGAGGTTGCGCATTTTATTATTTTCATCACACCACTAATAAACATAAATTACTTTTAGTACTTATCATGCCATATTATTTATAATAAACTTCATACAAAAAAATATTTAATAATAAAATATACATCATTTATTAAATTGTTTTGTTTGGTTTGAAATTGTTTATAGTGTCATACAAAACGTACTTTTTACATGATGTAGGCTATATAGAGCACTAGAGGTATAGCAACCAAACTTTTTTACAGGGTCACCCAATAAGGACGACGACCTACAACTATTATATAAACAATCTTAAGGGTTACTTTTAATATCCACAAAATGACGAACTTATAATTTTTCAAAGAAAGATAGATAAATGTTGCAAAGAGCAAAAAATGTATGAAAAACTGGATAAATCGTTTCTAAAATCCAATATTTTGTGGATAAGACTGTATCTCTTTCCTGATCTATAATGTTCGGAGGGAAAATGTTTAAAATCAGAAGTTTAGAGGGTTAGAAAACATTGTCATTTTCCTGCTCAAAATTATTAGAGATTTAAACCTGGAAATCATAGAAATAGTTTATAGATATACACTAACATAGAGAGATAGTTTATAGCTTCATAATATCATAAAGAGATAGTTTATAGCTATATTATATCATTATAGATATTGTTTATAGCTATATTATATCATATAGATATAGTTTATAGCTATATAATATCATATAGAGATAGTTTATAGCTATATAATATTATATAAATTTATAGCTATCTCATATCATATAAAGATAGTTTATAGCTATATAATATCATATAGAGATAGATGATAGCTATATACTAGCATATAGATATTGTTTATAGCTATATTATATCATATAGATAGTTTATAGCTATATAATATCATTATAGATATAGTTTATAGCTGTATTATATCATATAAAGAAAGTTCATAGCAATATAATATCATATAAAGATAGTTTATAGCTATATAATATCAAATAAAGATAGTTTATAGCTATACTATCATATAGAGATAGTTTATAGATATACTATTATATAGAAATAGTTTATAGCTATCTTATATTTTGTATAGATAGTTTACAGCTATATAATATCATATAGAGATAGTTTATAGCTATATGATATCACATAAAGAGAGTTTATAGCTATATGATATCATATAAAGATAGTTTATAGATATAATATCATATAGATATAGTTTATAGCTGTATTTTATCATTTAGAGATAGTTTATAGCTATATAATATATTTATAGATATAGTTTATAGCTATATTATATCATATAGAGATAGTTTATACAGCTATACACTATTATATAGAGATAGTTTATACCCATATAGAGATTCTCATATAGTTTATAGCTATATTTATAAATGTGTTCTTTACGTTTGGAGAAATATCAGCCTCGATAATATTCCTTTTTATCTTTTGACAAATTTTACTATTTTTTCACCAAATTTTCATTTTTCAAAATTTTCCCTTTCACCAGATTTTTTTATGTTCCAGAGTTGTCTCCGCGTATTAAATACTTCATGTGGAACAGACAACGTCAACAGAAACTAGTTTAGAAGTTCTATTAACTTTAATTTAAAAGGAAAGTACACAGAAATTACTCTTTAAAATATTCCATATTTAGGACCTACTTCAGGCAATGAAAGCTCTAGGGCTGTCTCCAACAGAACAGGAAGTGGTGGATATGCAGGTCAAATATGATAGTATTTTTATCATTGGTTGGATGTTTATAAATCCCTTTGGATTTGTTAAACTGGGTCATGTGAGTTGCCATAAAATATTTTGGCCGGATCGGTTTAGTCGTGTTTACATCTATTGGATACCAACAGGCAATAAATGCGTTTATCTGGATTGATAGAATCTAATAAAGTTGATAGAAGCAAGACCCAAATGAAGGAATAGCTAAATACGTTGTACCATGGAATAATAAAGATTTTTTTGTTTAATATTACTGTTATGAACACTAAGCAGAGATTACGAGAAACTTATATTGTTTATTAATATAAAGAGAAGATTATATATATTGTAAATACTATATTACATACTAGATAAATACATACTAAATTCTTATATAAAGAGAAGATTATATATATTATAATACTTATATACTAGATAAATACATACTAAATTCTTATATAAAGAGAAGATTATATAATAAACATACTTATATACTAGATAAATATATACTAAATTCTTATATAAAGAGAAGATTATATATATTATAATACTTATATACT